CGCCCCGAGCGCGGGCTTCCCGCGGCCCCCGGCCGCCCCCGGCGCCATGCACGGCTCGCAGAAGGACACCACGTTCACCAAGATCTTCGTGGGCGGCCTGCCCTACCACACCACCGACGCCTCGCTCAGGAAGTACTTCGAGGGCTTCGGGGACATCGAGGAGGCCGTGGTCATCACCGACCGCCAGACCGGCAAGTCCCGAGGCTACGGCTTCGTAAGTGGCCCCGCCGCCGCGCCGCTCCCCACCCTCGCACCTTATCTCGGCCCGGGGCTCAGTCAACTCGGGGCGCACGCCCCGCCGGCCGCGGCCCCCCTGGCGGCGCACCCGGACGCCTCCGTCCGCCCGCACCTGCCGCCCCCGCCTCCCCGCCCCCACCTCCGCGGGAAAGGGAGATCCGCTGTGTTCCACGAGGACTCCTGATGGGTGGGGAGGTTTTGGGGTCCGACGGCCGCTTGGTATTTACCGTAGCCGCCTGCGGGTGAGGGGCAAAGGCTGCAGCCAAGGTTGTGTTGGGGCGCTTTGGCCCTTCCCCCTCTCCCCAAACTTTCCAGCAGCGGCCTCAGCCTCCTCAAATAAACATCAACTTAAGTAAAAACAACTTCCCTTACAACAAGTGCCTCCGAGCTGCCCCGCGAAGAAATCCACGGCCCTCCCTCCCTGGTGGCAGGCCAAGCTAGAACTTGGGGTTCGGTTTTGCCCCGTCTCGCAGGGGATTGTTTCTGTCCTTGAAGACCAGGTTTCCCAGCAGTTGAACTTGGAGGGAGGAGCCTGAATCCGGGGGGGGCAGCTTGTGGGAGGGTTCTGGGCTGGGGTCAGAGGGAAAGGTTCTTAAAGGTCCTGAGTCCCAGGCGCCCCCAGGGCGGGGTGGGATAGTGCCAAAGCAGAGCCCTCTGTCCCCACTTTCTGGCTTCCCCAACTCAGCAAGGGAAGCTCCTGACCAGCTGTGCTTCTCCAGGTGACCATGGCCGACCGGGCTGCAGCGGAGAGGGCTTGCAAAGACCCCAACCCCATCATCGATGGTCGGAAGGCCAACGTGAACCTAGCGTATCTGGGCGCCAAGCCCCGGAGCCTGCAGACGGGTGAGAGCTTGCGTCTTCCTCCCAGGTCTTCCGAGTGTCCATATTCAACGTTTATATCTGTCGGGTGGAAAAGGCCCCCCTGCCCCGGGAGTGGCAGTCAGCTATCATGTGCCCGCAGAGCTGGCACCGGGCAGGCACCCTCAGCTCGGGAGCCCGAGGGATAGCGTGAGGAGGGTGCATCACCCGCTTCATCAGCTCTGCTGTTGGGAAGGAGGAAGTCAGACTGAGTGGCTGCCGACTCCCCGACTTCCAGGACCTGTGGGCTGCTTTGGCTGGGTGTTGGGGGTTTGTAAGTGGCGTTTGCCTGGAAGGGGAGGGGAAGCGGGTTATTCCCGGTACTAGGGTTGTGTGGCCTGTGTGGCTCTGCCTGGCTGTGTGTGGGCCCTTAGGGCAGTGTCCCTAACTGCTCTCTCATTCCAGGCTTCGCTGTTGGTGTGCAGCAGCTACACCCCACCTTGATCCAGCGGACTTACGGGTGAGTGAAGGTGGCTGGTTCAGAGTGGAGGGGTGGTCTTTCGAGATGAGGTGAGCGGCTGTGGAACTTCCTGGGTCTTGAAAGGCTGAGGAAGTGATGGTTTGCAGAAATGTGCTTGTGTTTTGGAGGGGTGGAGGGAGGGGTGAGGTCTGCCTCCATCCCCAGCAGAAGCCACGGCTCAGAGAGGGGTGTGTGCTTCTTGGAGCCTGCCTACCACGTCCCAGCCTTGCTCCTCAACCTGGTTGTGTGACCTTGCCTGAAAGATAGGTGGTAGCCGCCGCCTGGGCTCTGACAGCAGCTGGCACCCTTAGGTTGGAGGGCTGGGCTCTGCCTGGGCATCCTCTGCCTTGCTTCAGGGCTGCACAGGTGGCAGGTTTGACTTACGAGCTTCGCACCCTCCCTTACCTTTCAGAGGACTCCCGCCTCCCACGTTGTTTTATATTCTAGTAAGGCCTGGCAGCTGCCTGGGGAAGGGCTCATGGGCTTCAGGGTCACAGAGGACCCTGGGCTCAGTCAGATTTCCCCGTCCGTGGGAGCTGTGCACAGTGCAGGACAGGTTGGTGGGGCTGGGGAGGGAGTGGGTAGTTGCTCCGTTTATGCTGAGAGCGCCCAGCCCCTGGGTCTGGTGTCGCAAGGTGAGTGTGTGCGTCCACTGACTGCGGCTCACAGTTGTTCTGATGCCCCGGAAGGTGCTGCCTGCTCTCCAGGTGCTCGGGCCTCCAGTGAGCTGGCTCCTTGGCCTCCCCGTGGGTTGGTGGATGTGTGAGAGAGCCCAGCAGTGGACTGCGCTGTGGGCACCCGGAGGTGGCCTGGGCCCTGCCTGCCCGTACCCTCCGGTGTCACGTCCTTGGGGGGGCATTTGGAGGGCTACAGGTGTAGATGGTGGTGGGGTCACCCTTGGATTTGCTTTGTCCATGTCCATTTGCCTTGGAAGGTATTTGGGGTACCCCAGCCATCATGCCTCCCTGACTTCTGGGCTTCAGCCACAGGAGGAGGGTGTTCTGTGTTTTTTGTGGCCTGCTCTGTTCCAGGTGCCAGGGCTGGAGCCGGCACTGCTGGGAGGTCGGAGCCTGAGCCCCAGGCCTGTGCAGCCTTTGCTGCTTCCCCACCCAAGTCGCATCTTGGCCCTGCTCTGCCCCAGCTGCCTAGGGACTCTTAGGACTGTCATTGGTGGCCCTGAGCCCTCATCCCTGGGTTCACATCTTGCCTCTGCTGCTTGCCCACTGGATCCATCTTGCCAAGTGGCGTCCTCTGTAGTTTCCTCATCCTGAAAACCGGAACAGTGCTCCTAAAACTGCCTGGCATGTGGCTGTGTACCGTGCTTCCCCAAATGCCTTCTTCTAGTCCTCGCAGTGAGCCTTTGCGATTGGGATTGATGATGATTTCAAGTATGGACTAGAAACTGAGGCAAGCCCCAGCTCTTGGAGGCTGAGGCAGGAGGATTGTTTTGAGACCAGCCTGAGATACAAAGTGAGCTCAAGGCCAGACTGAACTGCATATTATTGAGACCCTGTCTCAAAAACACACACACAAAAAAAGCTGAGGCAAAGAAAGGTTCCTAACAGGTGGGTAGGGTAAGTGTCAGGGAGGAGATCTGAATCCGGCTGGCTCTGGGACATGTGCTGTCAGCCACTGCTGTCTTGGTGGGGTGGTGGGGTGGGTGGGAGGATGGGCGGGCAGGGTGCCCCAGCTCTCCCTCCCACTGTCCCACTTCCTGTGCCATTTGTCTGAGGGGACTTGGGTTGGTCACAGGTTGTGTGCACCTGACTTCAGGCAACAGTGTTTTGTAACTGGATCAGTGGGCTGGCCACTTAATCCTGTGACCACGAAGAGGCCTCGGACTGTTGGTTGCCAAGGGGTGGAGACCCAAACAAGGACAAGGAGCCAGGGACTGTCCACTTCTCACCTCCAGTGAGTCTTGACCTGAAGCACAGAGGAGAGCAGCGTCCCTAACTACCCAGTGTCCCTCCTTGCCCCTGCCCAGGCCCTGACAAGGCGCAGGGTGGCCCTGGCTGTGTGGCTGCGGAGCTGCAGTGGAGCCTGGCTGCCTGGGTCAGCTGCAGGCTCCCAGCGCCCACCCCTCTGGCTGGGCTGGAGAGTTGAGCTGTCAGCGTCCCCTTTGTCTTAGCAAACAATCAGGCTTGGGGCACAGCTGTGCCTGACTCAGCGGTCAGTTTTGTCCGCTCGGGGCTGGCAGTGGGGCCCGGCCTACCATGGCTGAGGGCACAGTGGGAGCCACGGCCTGGGCAGCTCAGAGCCCACACGCAGGGCTGAACCTCTCCCACACTTTCTGGCCCCAGTCCTGTGCCTTTGACAGCTCTGGGCCTACTTTAGGCTTAGCTATTGCAGAATCCTTACCCCTTGGTCAGAAACGTCAGTCAGTGTGGAAAGTGTCCCCAGGAGCTTTGATGCTTCGTTACCTACCTCGATTCTCCTGCCTTCTTTCTTTTTTTTAAAAAGTTGAATGGCTCCATTTAGGACCTAACTCCGCTGGTGTTTCCTTCTTATAACGGTGTGGGTCCAAGCCAGCGTTCAGAGAAGCTGGTGGGTGGTGGGTGGTTTGTGCCAGCCCTACAGGCCGGTGTGGTAATCCTGGAGGTGATGTAGCTGCTGTAGACGGCCCCGCTGAGGGTCTCTCTGCCAGCCTGGTGGGAGGAGGAGAGGAGGCAGGAGCAGTTTAAAGATGGCTTCTGGCAAGGGGCATCCGTCCACTCAGGTCTGTGGCCCGCCAGGAGCCAAGGTTTGTCCCGGCCGGGCTGTACTTGGAGCCTCTCTGGGGCTATTTTTGAAGGGTCAGCTGCTTCTCTGCGGGTCACCCTCCCTGTTCTTACAGGGATCATGCTGTGTGCGTGCTGCCTGAGCACTGAGTGCCGGCTGTGTGTCGGGAGGGGTCGGGCCGGGGGGCTGGGGGTGGTCAGGTGCGTTGCCGGGGTCTGCCCACTGTAAGCCATCGCGGCCCCCCGTTCACGGGCCTTTGCCTGCCTGTGTACTGGGGAGGGTGATGGCTGGCTCACAGGGCCGCCCTGAGATTGGAGCACCCGTGGACGGAAACTGAATCGGGGCTGGCTGCAGGAAGCCTCGAGAGCTTCCCCGCGGCGTCCCAGCAGCTGCCAGCCCTGCAGCGGGGTCTGCTGACCTGTCTGGCGAGGCCCTTGTCTCTTTGGCGCCAGCAGCCCCGTGGCAGCTCTTGGATGAGTGAACACAGACCGTTGAGACCAGGGACAGCTTGCGACCCTCTCCGGGCCTGTCTCTCCGCTCTGGCCCCATGATTTCCCGGACTTCTCTCTGAAGGCCCCTGGTACCTAGCAGAGACATGTGTTCTCATCATTGACAGGTCCGTGAGAGTGTGAGTGCAAGGTCCTGACCGGGCAGAGGACAGGCAGAGAGGGGCCACAGGGGATGGCCGTATCCCACCAGCGCGGAGCCCGTGGGCAGGGAGAAGGGAAAGAGCTCCCAGATGCGCTCCTAGGCCTGCACTGTGCTCCTGCTGCACCTGGGCCCCGAGCCTGGGTCCTTTGAGATGGGTTCTGGCCACAGGGTGCCTGTGGCTCTGCTGGGTGGTGGAGGTGGGGATGAACGCCGTAAACAGGAACTCTGAGGAGCCCCCCGAGGGACCGGCCGGCCCTGCGCGCCGAGTGTAACTGGGCCGAGGAACCGGTGCTTTTCTGAGCTCTGTGTCCCACAAAGATGGTGGCCCAAGTGCTGCAGAGTGAGACACGACCCAGGCCTGCTGCCCGCTCGGGCCTGTGCCCGGCCCTTTCCGGGGCGTGATGATGCGCATGGTTCTGTGAGATGTCGGGCTCAGGGGGAGGCCCTGTGGTATTTTTGGAACTTCTGAGGAGTCTGTCATGATTTCACAGGAGGAATTAAACGAGTGAGGCCCCAGAGGGTTGGGTGGGGTGGGTGGGAGGCCCCGGAGCAGCAGGTGTGAGGGCGGGTCGCCTGGAGGCCCCTCCACCGCAGCATCACGTTTTCCCTTTGGGGTGTCTTGGGGTGGCCTTACGCTCCCCCCACCTTCACTTCCTGTTTGACAGCTTGTCAGGAGCTCGGCGGCGTGGGCTGCGCCTGGCCCTCCCCGCCTCTCCCCACTGGCGGCCCGTGCTGCACCTGTTGTTTGTCCCCATCTGCTGTGACAGGAGCCAGCCTTCAAGCGCTCTTGGCTTCCTCTCCGGGGCAGACTTCCTTGCCGGGCCTCTGTGGCCCTGGGGTGGGGGCCCCTTTGCCGTGGTTGGAGAGCCCCTGTTTGCACGCCTTGGGCTGAGGAGCCAGGGACTTGGTCTCAGGAGGCCTGACCTGGGGCAGAGGCCGAGACCTGTTTCTTCTAGAGGAGGGGAGGCCCTGGGGCCAGCCGACACTGTGCTGCAGGGGGAGTCTGGATGCCACCCTCTTGGGGAGCCTGGGTGCTCCTCCTCCCTCCTGCGCAGGTATGGGCAGGGAACCCACGGCCGTTCACCATTTTCTTGGTGTCAGGCTGGCATCCCTGGGGTCAGTGCTGACCAACCCAGCACCCCAGCAGTAGCTGGCTCTGTCAGGACAGACAAGTGGGCCTGGCCAGGAGCTGTGCAGAGAGGAGCAGCCAGGACCAGGCCTCTGCGCACGGGAAAGCAGGCAGTGGCGGAGTGGCTGTGACAGGCAGCAGTGGCCGTGAGGGTGGGCCGTCAGACTGGGATCCCACTCCAGGGACACGGGCTGTGGTCGGTGCCGAGGCAAGGGTGAGCTCAGCTCTGCGCATCCCTATAGCAAGCAGGGGAGCCTGGGCTGCAAAGGCCCAGTGGAGGCCCCTGGGACAGCTCTGTCCCCGGGAGTAAGATGGGGTGCTGCATGGACCCAGGCCGTAGCAGAAGGAGTGGGATCTGAGTACGCGTTTTAAAGAGTGTTTGAAAGAGGAGTGCATTGCCAGGGATATAGCTCAGCGGCGCAAGCGCCTGGCTGGCAAGCACAAGGTCCTGAGTTCAATTGCTGGTACCAAAAAAAAAAAAAAAAAAAGGAGTGCAGGAACA